CTCCATCAGTAGGATTTTTCTTAGTGAGGAACACTGGAGACAGAGAGTAATGTAACAAGCAGAAGAAAATGTGGAAGCAATATCTATACTAAAGAAAGGGTGAGGTTGCCAACATGAAAGGGTCAAAGAGAACCAGAAATATTCATTAAAAGGAACTAATATCTGAAGAAATGTATGACTATTACTGAAAATGAAGGAGGTCTCCAAACATCCAAACTTTCAAAGTAATTTATATTTTTTAAATAATCAATATTCTCCTGATCTGAGACATCTCTACATTTTCAAATTCTGGCAAACAGTAATGTATTATTTATCAACGTTTAAGGGAGAAAACACTACAATCCAAATCCTCATTTATGTAGCCTGTATCCAATTCCTTACCTTTCAATAGAAGTAACCACAATCCTAGATCACATTTAGTGAAGTTTCTCTTACTTTTCCTTGTGTATTATTCAATATGTATGTATGAATCTATAATTAATATTTTATTTCAATTTTTTTCCTCATTTGGGAATTTTATAAAATTATTACCATACCACATAGTTTCTATTCCAACTTTTTAAAACATTTACATTTCATTCATAATATTCATCTTTGGACTGATATATTCTATTTTGTATTTCATGAGCTATGTTTCTTTTTCCTACATATATGAATATACCTATACATACGGCATTCGTGCCATACATAGATATGGCACATTTCAGATTAAACCTAAAACAAAATCTGCCATGAATGTTTTTTTACATATAGACTTGTGCATAAAAGTAAAGTGTAAATTTCAAAATATCACAGCTGATGATGAGCAAATATTATCATAGTCAGTGTTTTCAAATAAAAGACATAATTTTTGACAAAATTGAAATAACAACCACTACCTGAGCTTCCTGAGTTCTTGCTGGGTTAAAGCTTTTAGAACATGTTTTCTTTTATAGCTCTTATCATTCATGTAATTCCATCTACAATATTGCAAGCAACCTGTTAAAATGACACTTCATTCTTATGTTTCCTGCAGTATAATATATTGCATAAGGAAGTACGTTGCTCAAAATTTTCTTGAAATAAATTGAACATCTAAAGGTATATTTAATATTTTAAGATCAATTATTTATAGCTTTAAAATTTTATCTCCTAACAGAGGAAGAAGAGATAGCTATGTTGCCTTTTATTTTTTTTCCTCTGAATTTTCAATATATATTAATTTGGACTCTAAGTTTCATTGTGGTATGTATCTAAATGTCTCCAAAAGCCTCATGCACTCATAGATGAGGCTTTTCTGACTTAGCTGGATCTAGGGTGCATGATAGTGGGAGTAAGGGTGTGTGATAACTTAATGGATTTAGCAAAGTTCTAAGTGTGGATAATGGAACTACCCACCCTGGGTGTGAGTGACACCAATCCAAGGGCTTGTAGCCTGGATGGAATATAAAGAGAGAAAGGGAAGACTGGCGGCTGCTGCTGCTTGCTGCCTCCTGCCTCCTGACTCCTGCCTGCCCTGCCATGAATTGTTTCTCTTCTGTGATGCCCCTCTGCCATGACACCCTGCCTTGGAACCAGCCAACTATGGACTGAAACCTCTCCTAACTATAAGCTGAAGTAAACCTTTCCTCCTTTAACTTACAGTTGTTGGATATTTTGTCTCAGCAATGACAAAAAGTAACTAAGACAGTCTCTTTGCTTGACAAACCCATTTCAGAGAAATATTTATGCCAGATCCAGCATCATTGTTAGAGCAATGCTATCTCATTCATCGAACATGGATTGTTTCAGAAATGAGTAATGAAACACAGTTTAAAATTCTGTTTTTAACACTCATTTTTATGTAGTAGTTAATTTGTACACCTTCCTTTCAGCCTTATTCTCTTTCTGTACTTTATTATCATCAAGAAACCTTCCACTTACAATTTATACTGAAAATGAAAACCTACAGTCTTTTTCAAGTGAAAATGTAGACCAGTATTTCTCTTTCTGAATAGATTTAAGAAGCTTTACTATATATTTGTATAGTTATGACAGCCCAGAAAAAATTCAACAGAATGTTGCTGTATTTTGGGATAATTCTTGTATAGATTTATAACCTTTTCCTTAAAGGCTTATGAAAACTCAGGAATCACCTGAGAACACTGGATCTAAATAATTCTCTGGAAGAATTCCCAATACATTTTGTTTCATCTAATCATTCTTTGAAACACAAATTGAGTCATCAAAAGACACAGTTTTAATATGTGTCCTCCTATCATGTAAGCTGAAACAGTTAAGAACTACATACTTGGCTTTAAAATTTTATTACTTTGCCTAAGATTAATCTACATGAGCAATGCTCTAGTTAAATTTATAAAATGTTTAGTAAATTTACCATTATTTTACCTAAAATAAAAAATACAGCTTAAAACAAGAATGATTAAAAATTTAGAAGGAAAGAAGGAAGAGGAATCTAAGATACAAAATCTAAGTTACATAACTAGATTATGGCAAAATGAGACCTAGATTTACCCTCTACCCCACTGGCTTTCTACTGAAAAATAATTTCACCTTTGCCTCCAAATCAACCAAAC